CCGCATTCGAGCCTTGTTGTCCAAAGGAGAATACGGGTCTGTACTGTCTGGGTATGACTGTAACCACAAATGGGCTGCCATGGACCTGCTGTCCATTTACTTTTACTGATACATCACACTTTCCAGTTTCTTTGGGAAAATAGCTGATCTGGAAGCTGCCGTCTTTGTTATCTTGGACTCGCGCTTCCTTCGCAGAGCTTTGTCCTTGATGATTTATGATTTCCACTGTCACACAGTCACGCGCTTCATAACATTGTTCTCCTTCAGCATTTCGTGTTGTCAAAACAATCCCTGCTTTAANATAAAGTCTAGATTTGTTTTAGCGAAAAAAAAATTTGGGGTTTAGGTGCACTTTAAGTCCAACAATAGCTTCACTCGTTCCTTTTCCTTCCGCTCTTGATTGATGCGCACTAGTGTTGCTGTAAAATGTTTCTAATGAGCCAATTCCTTCAGTGATCGTTTTATCCATTAATGTTTCGTTTTCCACCAGAATGAATCGACGAGCGGCTTCAAGGTCACAGTTGACTCTTTCTCCTACATCATTCATGACTCCTTGAAAGATTGCATCTAATGACTTCTCTAACAGTACAATCTCAGCGCTTGTGCTTCGTTCTAAAAGTGTTTCAGCTTTTTCAATTACGGTATTTTTCATTTGCACTTGGTGTTCAATCCCGCTTTTCTGTGTTACAAGACGTTGGATTGACTCTGCCGCTTGGTTTTCCACTTCTTTACAGACTTTTTGCTTCTTTTCTTCGATGACACAGATCAACGCTTCAGCAAACTTTTGCGCGTTGCTCTTCACGGCAGCGGCTTGCTCTTGAATTTGAAAACAGATTTGGTCAATGATGGTGATCTTGTTTTTCTGCTGTTCGACGTTTTCCTTTTGCGACTCGATCACTGATTTCACTTGTAACTTGCGTTCGTATGCAGCTTCCTCCAGAAGGATCTTGGCGTGACCTTCGTGGTTTCATCATTCACTGCCACCCCATAAATACTTCATAATGAATCCTTTCCCTTTCCTTTGAGCTTTAGCTTGACGCTCGCTGGTCAATGTTTGTAATGAGCCGATTCCTTCAGTGTTAGCCAGG